ATATATATATATTTTTTTTTTTTTTTTAGGTCATCCCACACTCATGGTAAGTTTGCAGAATTACAATACCCATGATAAGCCAACATTTTTCAAAATAAATGGTGAGGTTAAACTTACTCCTTTGAAGTTTCTAAGAGACATGTTCTTTACAAAGAAATGAGAATGCAGTTTTGGCCTCTAATGTTTTCACCCCATACACCACAAATACATGTACGGTTTTGTACTTGCTTTCTTCTGAGAATACTTTTGAAATAGGCTTCACGCCAGATACCAAAAGACAACTCTGTCTCTGGCCTGCATTAGCACAACCTAGACTGATTAGTTTATCTATTCACAATTTATCTGTTCACGGTTGCAGGATATTTCAGGTTGTTTTTAGCTTTTAACGATTATGAATACAACTGTTACTAAAATTTGCTTATAAGTTTTTGAAAGAATACCTTTCTCATTTCTCCTGGCTAAATACTTAGGAGTGAAATTCCTGGATTGTATGATAAGTACATATTTAAATTTATAAGAAACTTCCAAACCGTTTTCCAAAGTGGCTATTCCATTCCCACCAGCAATGCATGGTAGTTGCAGTTGCTCTACATTCGTGTCATAGATGGTGTCAGTTTTCTTGATTTGAGCCATTTTGATAATAATTAAGGAATTTTTGATCTAGCCTGGGCTATAAAATGGAACATTCTGCTGGCTACATGCACTGAGTTGAATAATGTCCCTCTAAAATTCACATTTACCTGGAACCTCAGAATGTGACCTTGTTGAAAATAGAACCTCTGCAGATATAACTAGTTAAGTTTAGAGGTGGTCTTACTGGGTTAAAGTGGGCCTTAATTCCATGACTGATGGAAGCCTATGTGAAGACACAGAGACAAAGAGGACATCATATAACACTGGAGGCAACAATAAGCGCTATGCTGCAATAAACTAAGGAACACTAGAAACTACCAGAAGCTAGAAGAGACGGGAAGGATTCTTCCTTAAAGCAGAGCTCTGGAGGGAGTGTGGCCCTGGTGACACCTTGATTTCAGACTTCCAGCCTCTAAAACTGAGAGAATACATTTCTGTTGTTGTAAGCTAACCATTTTGTGGTAGTTTGTTACAGTAGCCCTAGGAAAATAATACACTATAAATATAATTTATAAAATACAATAATACAAAGAGGTTTATAAGGGTATAGTTGACTTACATAAGGCTTTCAGTGGATAAAATCATAATTATTTGTGTGAAGATATAGTTCTAATTAATATACATATATTCTTAGCAGCTAAATTACTGATAGACATAAAAATACCTGGACTAAGTCTTTGAATAATCTATAATTCATCTTTTTACTCATTGGACTGAACTTCTACTAATGAGTCCAAATCAGCGAAGACCTACTATTTATCAAGAATTAAGGTTCAGTCCAGAATCAAACCCAAAGGTTCCTAACGCATGGCTGATAAATATGTGAGACACACATTTTTCAGAATGTTCTATAAAGGATTAAGAGATACTTTCTTTTAGTTCAGTCATTTGTGGTATAATATATTATTGTGAACTTACAGATTTTTAAAATTGTAAAATTATTAGTTCATTTTCCCTATCATGCGGTTTTGAAAGTTTTGAAAACAAAATTTCTGTGGCAGAGCCAGTCTTGGCTATTTCATAAGGAACAGACCATATTTCAGTTTCAGCACAAACTTCTTCTGGCTCCTGAGGAAGAAAAAACTATTCTAAGATCCCAATTAGACTTCTTTAGGAAGGCAGAGGGATCCCCATCCCTACCCCAAAACCTGTGAAAAAAGTTGATTCTTCTGTCACTCCATTATTCAGAAAAAAAATTATTAGCCCAATGATAATTATATTAGTTCAATAATACAAAATAAAGGAAAAGCTACAGTCAATATCAGTTTGTGGCTTATGCTAACATAATTTGCTGAGTAGTTATTGCAATTGAACAGAAATTCAGGTAACAGGCGGGGCAGGAGGGGTGGTACAGATGTGTAAGCAGGATTTCATGTTTGTATAATCATTTTTCTATCTACACTATTTAAGCCTCATTTTTTCCCCCATTAGCAACATGAGTTACATTAACAAGCCCACCAATCGAACACTAGATATCATTATATGGAGCTCTGGGAAGTGCATGTGGCACTCACTGAGCCCCTCATGAGTCATCTTCCGAGTACTGTGGTTAACGGCTGTGCCATGCCTATTTTACAGGGGTAACTGGAGAATACAATCGTGCCTTCCACAAAAAGTTTGCAGAGCAAGGCAGTGCGTCATCTGAACAGAGTCCAGCAATGTTCAGTGACCTGTGTAAAAGGCCATTTTTCCTACCTCCACTCTCTAATCAGCATAAGCTGTTCTTTGAGTGTTTTAGGAGAACGTAAGGTTGGCCTATTTTAGGGGGGATAAGGTTTGATAATGTGGGACCACCCGTTCCAAGTTTGGGCAATTTCAAAGGACCAGGCTTTGGAGACTCGGAACGACCTGTACAATTTCACTGTCACTGGGTCTGACTAAACACAGAAACCAGCCTCCCTTTTAATCTCCATCCCACGTGTGGAAAACCATAAACTGAAGAGTGCCCAGATGCACAAACTAATAAAGAAAAAGAATTAAAGAAAATTTCGTTCCAAAGACATCCTGTAGTGTTCCTTAGGGTAAAGCCCAGGGTATGGTGTCACCAGTTTGTGATAAAAAAAAAAAACACACACACACACACACAAAAACACTTGAGAACAGATAAGAGAATAAAAGTAGTATTTAAGAAAAATAGTGAGCACACAAACCCCTGGGATCGCGCGTTACAGCCTCTCTGCATCGATGACTACAGCACTACTGCCCGTCTAGAAAAGGCACACTGCGGAAAGGCTTGGTGACCAGGCAGAGAGAAAACCTCAGCTAGGAGTCTTCGTCTCCTAGCCCCTCGAGTTTCCCAGCTGGGCCCGCGCAAGCCCTTTGCTCTGGAGGACATCGGCCCCCTCCATCCTCTAAACTCTGGCAGCGCCCACCCTGCTCCCGCTGATTGACAGGCCATGCAGCGACTCCCAGGAGCCCCCCAGAGATAACAATCTTTACTGTAGCCAATGAGGTCCAAGAGGCGGGGCCTGCAGCAGGGAGGCGGTGCTGGTCAGGTGCTCTGCTCCAAGGTTGCGTGCAGGTGTGCGGCTGCGGGTCCAAGAAGTGCCCTTCGCTCCCGACACCTCACGGCTATTGCCCTGGGTCTGCCGGAGGGAGCCTTCTCCAGATCTCCCCTCCCATTGCCCCAATCCAATGCGGACTGACCCACCCGGTCGCTACGAAGGTAAGAGTCCAGGGGAGTGGGCAGATTGCCTCCAGGGGACCCACACGACTCCTGTGGGTTCCCCAAAACTCTCCCCCAGTTACACTGCGCACGCGCACGCGCGGGCGCGCACACGCGCGCGCGCACACACACACACACACACACACACACACACACACACCACATTAGGACATCTGTCGGCCTCGGTGGGCGTACCCTACGCTGCGACCCTTCCCAGTGGCTAGGATGGAATGCCTGTGGAGAAGATGGGGCGAAACATCGCCCCCTTTTTGACGTCTATTCGTTCTACACACACATACTCCTCCTCCACTTTCCCTATTCTTCGCGTTCTTGGCGCCCCTTCCCTACAGATTTACAAGGCTGTCTGTGGGGGAAGGATTGCAGTGGAGGAGGAATTGGAAAACAGCCCAGTGAATTCTGGACCCAGAGGTAGGGATTCCGCCGCACTGTGCAGTATTTTTTTGTATGAAAAAGAAAGAAATCTGAGATTTCTTTCATCCCACCCCCACCTTTGTTTATTGCTTCATGTAATGGATGTGATAACGTTGGTTCTGCTTACCAAACATTCCTAAGCTTTAGACAACACTTAGCTTTTGTTTTCCTTTGTTTTGCTTACCATAGCTGCTGAACGATTTACTTAGAGGAAAATCAGGTGTTTCAAATAGTCGATTCTTTTTCTAGTCTTATATTTGATTCATATTAGTCTTGTCTTAGGAAGGTGAAGGAGCGGGAGAATGAGGGAGGAACCACCATCTTCATCCACATATGTTAGTAAATATATTTGCATTTCCCTACTGGAACTGATTGTTAATGTTCCTTCGAATTGGAAACATTATTGCCATTGGAGAATTTTTTAAATTTAATTTTGAACGATTGTCTGGAGACCAATACCTAAGACAATTTCAGTTTAAGTGATGTTCTAGGTATGGTGAAATCATGATTTAAAAATAAACAGTACAGAATTATTGGACAGGAAAAGGAGAGAACAATAGATTTGCAAGTCCTATGAGAATTGACAAAATTTACTTATGTATTGTTTCTTCATATTGCCTCTTATTAGCTTTCTTGAATAGAATAAAAACTTTTTTAGAAATATACGGAAATTTTTTAAAAGACCAATAACCTTGGTCCAAAGACATTATTTAACCTGGGAAGTGCCTTTTCTACAGGTATCACTGACAAGATTCAATGTAACAAATTTTGACATTAGGAAGGTCAACATCAAATTTCAAAATTGGGTTTCTGTTTATACTTAGTTGAGAATCTGTTTAGAGAAGGCTGTGACTTGATTATTAAATGAATGTAGATTACACTTCACAAATACATTTGAATGTCACAAATTTGATGTCACTTCAAGAAACCAAGTTCATTTATTTTTTCCTCTCTAGTAACACCTCTAACCATGATAAACCAAACATAAGCCTTGGCTTTGAAAAAGCCAAGGTACACACACACACACACACACACACACACACACACATACGTATTAAATATATATGGACATATATATTTAAAAGCATTATTGGATTTGCTAATGGTACTTCCTTGTTGCTAGGTTCCTACAGTTGGTCTAACCACAATGATACCTATGTTCACAGGTATTTTTCACTTGGAATCTATATGATTTTATTAACCAATGTGACCCCATTAATTTTAATAAATATATAGAGATATGTTCACAGGTCTTTGGCTACAGAAGTCTGAGTCAATCTGAAAATGTTTCTAAAAAGTCATATGTAAATTATGTCATATTTTAAAATGATATTTGGAAGCTTATTTAAATAATTCCTTTGAGGAATGTTTTGATTTTTGATAAATTCTTGGAAAGTTTTTAATGCAACAAAACTTCTTAGCTTTATTATGCAGGTAGCCCCAGGTCTGTTGTTTAAGATGGAGTTCTACGACATGATCCTTTTGGGCTATAATTTATGATATAACTGGGATTACTAAGCATCATCGCTCTCAGTTTTGGGTAAAGTACACAAAACAAAATTATTGTTACTAATTTATATATTTTTTTTTATACAGATCATCTTACATTGAACTGATCAAGTACTTTGAATATGACTTCAAAACTCCTCTTGGAGGCCTTCATACTTGCTGCATTAACACTTTCAATTACATTTTCTCTTTCACCAGACCAGCAAAAGGTTCTACTAGTTTCATTTGATGGATTCCGTTGGGATTACTTATATAGAGTTCCGACACCCCATTTTCATTATATTATGAAATATGGTGTTCATGTGAAGCAAGTTACTAATATTTTTATTACGAAGACCTACCCTAACCATTATACTTTGGTAACTGGCCTCTTTGCAGAGAATCATGGGATTGTTGCAAATGACATGTTCGATCCTATTCTGAACAAATCTTTCTCCTTGGATAACATGAATATTTATGATTCTGAGTTTTGGGAAGAAGCAACTCCAATATGGGTCACAAATCAGAGGGCAGGACATACTAGTGGTGCAGCCATGTGGCCTGGAACAGATGTAAAAATACATGAGAGCTTTCCTACTCACTACATGCTTTACAACGAGTCAGTTTCATTTGAAGATAGAGTTGCCAAAATTATTGAATGGTTTACATCAAAAGAGCCCATAAATCTTGGTCTTCTCTATTGGGAAGATCCTGATGACATGGGCCACCATTTGGGACCTGACAGTCCACTCATGGGACCTGTCATTTCAGATATTGACAACAAGTTAGGATACCTTATACAAATGCTGAAAAACGCCAAGTTATGGAACACTCTCAACCTAGTTATCACAAGTGACCACGGAATGACCCAGTGTTCTGAGGAAAGAGTAATAGAACTTGACCAATATCTGGATAAAGACCACTATATCCTGATTGACCAATCTCCAGTAGCAGCCATCTTGCCAAAAGAAGGTAAGTCTGACAGAGTGGTGGTCTGAGACTTGGTCTGCGCATGCCCAGTGCCATTGAGTGGGGAATTTTTTTTTCTATGCCTTTAAAGTATGCTTGCTCGTGTCATGGTAATAGTATGGAATTTAATATTCAGACTCTGAAAAGATAAAATCTCACTCTTTTTTTTTTCTTTCTTTTGTTACCGAACTGAACTTGGGTTCTCTTCTTGGTGAGCAGGGAATCAGATATTACACCAAGAGTGATTGCCACACAAAACAAAATTTATTTGCAGCAGATAAAAAGCCTATAGGGGATACTTTCCAAAGCTGTGGTTCCTGGAAGCGGAGAGCCCCTGTGCTTTTATCCTGTCAATTAATACATATTCATGATGGAAATTTTCATCATAGCATGTAAGGGGGTGGTGTTGAGTTGACACAGGCGCAGAAGGAAGCAGGTCATGCCTCTTCATGGGCACATGTTCAGAAAATAGTATCCAAACTCCTCCCAAATGTGGGGATTTTACTATTATAATGAGCTCCTGGTCACCTTAAATTCATAATAGCTACCCTAAGCAGTTTGAGCCAGTTCTTTTCTTGCTTCTTTTGGGGGTATCTGCAGGTGCTTATCTGAAGGAACCAGCTAAGCATACAGGATGCCCCATATTTTCCCTGGAAAATATGCTAACAGGATATTATTTGCTCTAACCACCAACCTGATGGTATCACTTGGAGTCTAATTTTTCACTCTTTGCTAGAATATTGCAATTGATGCTCTCTATGTATTTAACTATTTGGAATCATCAAATATGATGAAAATGACAGCTTTCCTTCTCAGAAAACTTGAGATGGGTCGATACATACAAAATTTGCATGCAATTACAGTTATTTCAGGCCCTAAATCTTTCTATAGAGCCTTAGTTAGGCCCTGCTCCATTAGAAAGCAATGGAGTGTGGGAAGGAAAAAGCTTTGGTCAATGTGAAATTTCTTTTTCTTACGTATAAGTAGAGGAAGTAATAATACCTTGAACTTTTTATAAACCTCTCCTGTAAGCCTCATACCTGTCACCTACATGTTACATCCCCAGATCTCAATGTATGTGCAGAGCAAGACTCAGGCCTGCTCTTCTGACTTTTATTTTATCACCTCCTAGGGCTGGCTAGGTGTCAAATGAGAGAACAGTTTTTGGAAAGCTGAATACTTCACAAATGAGAGTTCTGTCCCTCCTAGGGGAATTAAGAGGATCATAGAAAACTGAATGTTAAAATATGCATGTCCACCTACACGTAAACTTTTCAACAAATTCGATATAAACCAGCAAGCTTTTTGTTTTTTAAGAAAATCACATTAACTCTTCCATTTTCCTTATAAAATTGGTATGGTGTTGCCTTATGTGGGAGGCAGGGAGGAACCCCCACCAAATAGATTTGAAAAACAAGAAAAGGAGTGACTATGGTACCCAGGTTTACTGCATTTGAAGTTATAGAGAGTACGTTTATAACACCTCCAGGGTTTTAAAAAACTTTTCTGTTATAGTCTGCTTTCCACCTCTAGGCCTTTCCCAGCCCTCACTCTCCACTTTTCATATTTTCTTACCTAGAGATTCTCTACTTTGCACTCCTAACTACCAATGTAACTCTTAGTTTGGGTATTGCAATGCCCTAGACATTTTACTTAGCACCTAAGTATGTACATGACTAATTAGTGTGTGTGTGTGTGTGTGTGTGTGTGTGCCACCTCTAGGCCTTTCCCAGCCCTCACTCTCCACTTTTCATATTTTCTTACCTAGAGATTCTCTACTTTGCACTCCTAACTACCAATGTAACTCTTAGTTTGGGTATTGAAATGCCCCAGACATTTTACTTAGCACCTAAATATGTACATGACTAATTAGTACGTGTGTGTGTGTGTGTGTGTGTGTGATTAAGACATCTCAAATTAGAGATTTCTGGTTCTAGAAAATGTTCTCTTAATTCTATACAGTGAACTTACTTACAAGAGAAGATGAATTATTTCTGTTTCTCCTTTCAAGATTCTTTCCTCAAGATGGGAGTTCCAAAGTGTCTGGCTATATTTCATTGTGTGTAGCTTGCTGGCTTTTTACTTCAATGGAGTGTCAGCATTGATTGACCTCTATTGCCATGATTGTTTCTTTGATTGTGACTGCGAGTGTCTTATTCTGAATGCCTCATGTTCTCCCTTCTCTTTTAGGTAAATTTGATGAAGTCTATGAAGCACTAGCTCATGCTCATCCTAATCTTACTGTTTACAAAAAAGAAGAGATTCCAGAAAGATGGCACTACAAATATAATAATAGAATTCAACCAATCATAGTAGTGGCTGACGAAGGGTGGTATATTTTACAGAATAAGTCAGATGACTTTTTGTGTGAGTATATTACAGTATTGCTTTTCATTCTGCATCTTCGTTTGCTAAAGTGTGTGCTATGGATGATACAGCCAGCCATTTATTTTCCCGTTGAATAACTAGTATCATACATTAATAGCAAATTTAAGATTCTTGGAGCTTTAAAAAGAGGTAAACTCCTAAAAGTGAAATATTTACTTCTTTTGAAGCCATTAGACCAAAAATATGCACAGTGACCTATATGGCTAATTATAATCATTATGTTCTTGAGAAAAACATAACTGACATTTATAAATTGAATTATTCTGTATCTGTTTTATATTCTGACTTCATAAGAATTTAATCTCTATTTTTATTCGAAATTGCAGCTTTCTAGTTTGTTTGTTTTTTTCTCCCTTCTGGTTTTACCAAATATAGGCCAGCTTTGATCCTTGGAAACATTTCTAAAAAGAAGTGAATGTCATGGAGAATAATAATATATCAAGATGTGTTTTCCTAATACCTAGTAATATAATTTTGGAGATATTGCCACTGATTAAATTTAGAATATGATGGAACTTCCTTTTAAAATTCAAACACACAAAATAAGGCAAAAAGAAATAATTTTCTCTTTTTATAAATAGCTTTGGAAAAATCATGCCCAGTATTTTTCTTATTGTGTCTGCCATTTGCATATTTGCTCTCAAGCTCCCTGCCCTTTCTCTGCTCTACTTTGTGTCACCAATGACAAACCCTACAGACTAAATTCCCCAGGCTCCTTTGCAAACTGGTTTCTGGTTAGGTTTGACTTATGGAAAAAGACCCTGGCAGAAATTTGAAAGCCAAGAGGAAGGGAGAAGCTGGGGTATTTGTCCTCAGGCTATGTCTCTAATGATGGCTTCATTTCTTCTGTGATCTCAGCTCCATGTGGACAGTGTCTTTCTCTATGGCCTCAGCTCCTTCTAAGTGGCCCTGTCTTTTGGGCTCTGGTACCACCACCTCTTCCTCTGTCACTCCATCCCTGGGGGCCGTACAGGCTCTCACTGTTCCTAATCACTGAATAAGCTCATCCCATGTTTGCTTCTCATCTCTTCAACCCTTTTATAACTAGTCCCCACATTAAATTCCCTCTATTAGACTACCTGGCATGAGTTTCCTGATCGATTTAGGTAATAGTATGCACTACTGATCAGGTCACTGGAACTTGTTTCTACTCTGTTACTTGAATATTGAAGGAATCACATTGTGTATATATCAAAGACCAATGCACTCCCCCCCACCCCCCGCCACAAATGCTTTTTTTGGGCATTGGTCCTTGATATATATTAAGATGTACAAAAATGTCCCTTTAAGTAGAACTGGGTTCCTATCGTGTTAATTGGGGAAAAGAAAAGCGGTTGCCTGACAATGGCACTTGTAATATGTATATAAGTCATAGTGATAGATTATGTCATATAATTTCTATAGGTACATGGTTCCTGGTTCTTAAACTGGTTTTAAATACAGATAATGATCTTCAAACCAATATTTAATCACACCAGGGGAACTGTTTTAAGAAGAACTTTAAAAATGATTTCTTTGGCCATGAGAATAATTGCCACTTTTTCGTGTATCATGCAGGTAGCTCCTATGCTAGATGGGCTACTCAAAACTTCACAGTTAAAATGAATGTAAGGGGCTCTCTTGAAATTTGGTTTGGTGAGCTACAAATATACAATGGATCAGTGAAATCTATTTTTGACAGAAAACCTAATGCTCCTATTTACATTATGTTCATTTATTCAACAACATACTAACCACTGCAGTCCTCCTCAGCCTGATTTCTGCAAGAGATTAAGCTCTAATGTCCAAAAGCAGCAGTTCTCTAAATGTGTTCCCTGGGTCCGCAGCATCCAAACCACTTGGGAACTTACTAGGAATGTAAATTATTTTGCCCAACCCAGACCTGAATTAAAAACTGTGAGAGTAGGGCCCAGCGATCTGTTTTTACATGTCCCCCTCGCCCCAGCAGTCTCAGACACATTGAAGTTTGAGAACCACTGCCCTAGGCATCCCTTATTAAATATTGTCTACTGGATCAAGCATTTATGCTAGGGGCTACCACTTCAAAACATGGGAAAGGTTTTATAAGTCATAATGACTTCATTTCAAATCTAATTTTCTAGTAAAAAGTGAGATATAAGAGAATTATCTTATATCTAAGGGTCTAGATACCAACTTATAGAAATGAACATAGCAATCACTCAATCAATTACAAATTATATAATGGCATATTTCCCAGTGTTAATGTTAGCAATTAACTAAATAGAATAGCACAGTACCCTGGCAGATAATTATAAATGAGTTCATAAATCCAGCATTATTTTTCCTTGAATAAATTTGAAAGAATCATGGCATTTAGAAAGACTTCTTTAGTTGGATTTGGCCAGGCATATTTGGAATTACTTTGAGGAGATGACCATGGGTCAGTTTATGACTTTCGGAAAAATTGATTTAGGATTTTTTTTAATGTTCTGTTCCCATTGCATATTTCTCTGTAGTGGTATAGGTACTAGAGACTGATTTGCTAGTCATTGTTCTCACCACCTTTAAAATAAAGACTGTCGGTTTTCTTAGGTTGCCATCTTAGCTGCAGTAGCTCCTTCCCCTTTGCACCCTGATATTATGCTAGGCACACATGCCTTTAAAATGTAGCTTTTATTATTCAGGAGTTTTCATCCTTCAATTTTGTATCACTTGATAAGTCAGAAAACTCCTCAAGTTTCTATTTTATTTGTATCTGTACTAAAGCACACAATGCTAAGTTGGATCCTGATTTGAACCACCAAAGTCAGGATTTTACCCACAAGTCTTGACCTTTATTTTTCAGTAGTGGATTGTAGCTGTCACTAGAGGTTTGGTTTTTGTGATGTCTTTTGTTTTTCTTTTTTATTGTTTTTCTCCTTTTGTTAGTAATTATGAATTCATTATCTTCATGACTAAAGAGCAATAATCTTTAGAACAATAATTGGAACATAGTAGTTACCTATTTGCTATTAGTTTACCTGCCACCAAAAACAAATTAGTTTTATTTTCCCCTGACTTGTCTCAGCTTTGCTCTTTACCTTTCTTCCTCTGCTGCTTGGCCTTTGAAAAAGATCTGTGATCATTTGACTTTTCACTTCCTGAAATGAATTGTGATGTTGACAACAGCAAAGATTGTCTTTAAATGATTATTTTATTTTAAAAGTCGAATTGGATAGAATTTGTGTTGACTTGTTCAGACTTTGACAATACAACAATTATTTCATCTTAATGCCTTCTGGCTGGCTAACTTATTCATGCATTTTATCTTTACAGTAGGCAACCACGGTTATGACAATGCATTAGCAGAAATGCATCCAATATTTTTAGCCCACGGTCCTGCCTTCAAAAAGAATTTTACAAAAGAAGCCATGAACTCCACAGATCTTTATCCACTGCTCTGCCACCTCCTCAATATCACTTCCATGCCACATAACGGATCACTGAAGAATGTCCAGGATCTTCTCAGTTCAGCAGCTCCAAGACCAATTCCTTACACACAGAGTCCTACGCTCCTCCATGGTAGTGTCAAACCAAGAAAATATGAGCAAGAGGAGTCGTATGCTTATTTCATAGGGATCTCTCTTGGTAGCATTATAGTTATTGTATTTTTTATAGTTTTCATTAAACATTTAATTTGCAGTCAAATACCTGCCTTACCAGATATGCAGGCTGAAATAGCTCAACCATTATTACAAGCCTAATGCTACTCTGAAGTGGAGATGGCCTAATTATGGCAGTGCTTAAAGGTTTCAATTTCTAGGAAACCACTTTCAGACATTTGCACAGACCAATGAGCAGTTACATGCATATACAGACACAGCCTGCCCCTCTCTTTCTCTCTCTCTCTCTCTCTCACACACACACACACACACACACACACTTGCACACACACACAAACACATACACACAAACACACACTCACACAGGAATACACACAAATGCACCAAAATACATATATCTGCAAATAATTAAAAATGTGGAATTATGTTTCCATTTTCCTTTCTGGTCCAGGGGTAGATAAGATCCTGCTTTATTTGTACTTGGCACATATAATGTATATATTTAGTAACTTTGCACTATTTAAAGTATATATTGCACTTTAAATTACTCTCCTAATGGGTACTTTTATGTGAAATGCACTTTATTGACAACTATCCTATAACTTGATTGAAAAAGACAACTATTTGCACCCATGTCACAGAATACTTGTTATTTGTCATTCAAACCGAATGAAATTCTAATAATTCCTGATTAATATAGAAATCTATCTCTTTAAAGTGGGAGAGCAAGAAAAAGTGAAAACTGTTGAAAATTAAATTTGTACATTAAATTTTGGAGAGACGCATTCCTAACAGCAGGACGAATCTATGGGCATTCCTTGTCATATTTCTTTCCAAAGGACATGGGTTTTCATTTTATTTTCCCCAAAAGATTCAATTACTGACACATTTATTCTAAATATATTGTTTCTGTCATAAAATCATGCGGCTGTATTTCCTGATTGGTCATTTTACTCTAATTTTTATAACACCATAAATATACATTTCCCTCTGTAGTCCAGCAGTGGCCTGGATATTAGAGATAAGACATGATCTCAGCAATGTTTTCTCTTGTTCTATAATTATTTGCTTCTTTGAAAACTAAATCACTATTAATCACATTAAAAGTTAAATTAGGTAAAAACAATGTTTGTTTTCTTTCTGGTAACTCATAGTAACAGAGCACAAGCATCTTTTAGATACAAATATTTGAAGATCCAGACTTGCAAGAGAGCATAAACTCAAAGTGTAGGCCACTCAATCCTTGTAGAGCTTGGGGGAAAAATTAGGCCCATAGTACACAGTGTACCCAGAACAGTGCTGAAGGGTGCATAATAGCAAAAACTAGCAAAATAACTCCTAGAAGTAACAGGTGTTGAAATAAGAAGAGCTGAGATTGTAGCTTTGTTTAATGAAATATTGGAACACCTGCTCCCCAGGTGCTCAGTGGAATCAAAGATGAATCCAAGTTCACAAATAGTCTTTTCCTTCTCGGTAGTTTTTCACCTGCCTGGTCATTTCAGCTCCTCTCATTCCAACCTAGAGGACCTTTTAAGTAGCCGGGTTGGAGAGAGGGAGATGTTACCTACGGTTTCTTAGAAGAAAGAAGAAGCCTCAGAAAGAACAGTTTTCTTTGAGGAAAGTAGAAGCCAGTTTATAGACACATGGCCCATAGAAAGTACTGTGATTTCATGTATATTTATATATCAACTGACTAATTGGAAAAGTGGAAAAGGCATTTCAGAAAGAAAGGATAACTTAGATTTAAAGAATAAAAATGGCATGGTTAAAAATACAATTGAATGTAAGTGCTTCCTAAAATGAGGTGGCTTAATTATTTTTAAAATGATACCAGTAAAAAATGTTAGCACCTCATTCTCATTTTATGATATAACCTCTTAATAGGATAGAATGGAATCACTGAAAATAAACTATGGATTCAAAAGCTGAGAAGTTAGATGGTAGGTAGCAAACTCCTCAAGAAATCTGAACTCTAGATTAGACATTCTAGAATATGACCAGTCACATTGGCTTGCTTTGTAGCTATGAACTTACCTGTGTGATTGAGATGCCAATATAACAACTAAAAGATAAAATTTGTCTACTTAAAAGCATTACTATTCAAGTGCTATCTGTACATTTAAATTAATTGTTTCATTAAATTCATTTCAGAAGGTGCTATTACCTTAGATGAAAGTAAATTCTGTAACTTTGGTGAAATCATTAAAATTCTGATAGTAAGCTTTTATTATTGAATGGTTTCTTCTATTTACAGAAACTTATTTTCCTGTAAATATCAGCAGGAGAGTTTACCTGAAGGAAAATAAAATTTTAAACTTTGCTGTGAAAATCTAGTCACTTATCATCCTTTGATAGCTTTTTTGTTGTTTTGATTTTACCTGCATGCATGTCTTCATGCTCATACTTTGTATACAGTGAACAAAAATTAGCACATAGATGTAAAATTTAGGCTAGCTAATCTTACTAATTGAAAATAATTTTAAAAAGGTCAGAGGAATGGAGTTCTCCCCAGCTCACCCTTTTTGCTCAACATCTTCCATCAGCTATTTTGTACAATTAATTGATAAAATTTTTTTCTTATTCAGTGTGTTTTGCAATTTCTCCCTTTATCACCTGCCATTTAACTTTAAAATTGCTGAAAATGAATGAATAAATAAATTTAAAATTGCTTTTCAGGGGGTGGCTCCATAGTGTAGTGGTTAGTACATCTGCTTTGCATGCAGAAGGTCCTGGGTTCGCATCCCAGGTGAAGCCACAGACCATATCACAGGGGTGCCAGGCCCAGGGGCGCCAGGCCCTGGGAGGCAGGCCCACACCAAGAGCATGTGGGGAGGGAGGGGATAGCCTGCCTTTAGAGATCCAGTTCTAAAGGGGAAACGGCAACATCCATGGGTCAGGGGTGGAAGTGGGGCAGGGGGAAATAAAGAGGGGGAAAAAATTGCTTTTCAAAATGCTTTCTGACCTCTTAAGGTAAAACTAGGATCCTATTATTAATTTCAGTTTCTTAAAAGAAGCTATCATTTCTAGAAAATCCAATAAAGATCCTAGTTCTTCTAGTTCTGATTTTTTTCAGCTATCCATTAAGAGTGACAAACTCAAGAGGCACAGAGCCAGGGACCATTCAACCCCCTGATTAAACAAGGGCTCTTAAAAGCTGTGAAGTGACTTTCATGACATAATTATTAGTGCCAGCCGGTGTCGGGATCCAGGTATCTTGATCCATTTTGGTGGTTAGGACATCAACATAATGACCTCTGAGGAGACACAATTCAGCCCATAATGGGCAGGTAATGCAAAACAAAAACAATAAAAGCTCCTGGAAAAAAATGAGAAGCTGTACAAGAAAATGCATTGACATAATATTCCATTGTCATTCAAAAAGGTTGTCAGGGTTGCTGTTGAGAATTCTTTTGTCAATTTCTCTCTCTCCCCCTTTTCCTCCTCCTCCTACCCCAAATTTTACACTAAGAGAGATACCCCATTTGTCACTCATGGTTCCCTTTCATTTTAAATGCTCATATCTTTTTTAGTCTAACAAGTTCTCATAGTTTATTTTAGTTTATAGTTTCCTTAAATCCTTTTTCTGTTTACCCTTTTTGGCGTGCCTATTAGTTGGATGTTGAACCTTCTGAATTGGTTGATTGTTCATCTCAGTATCTTCTAGCTCTTCTTTCTGTTACACCATTTGAGATACTCCATCTCCAAGGCTTAGCCCTTTAATTTTTTTTACATATTTAAAGTTTTTATTTTTCAAAGTGTTTTTTGTTCTGTTTCTTCGTAATATGTATTGTTATTTTAACTTTTATTGAAGTAAAACATTCAGAAAGTATACAAATAGTAAATGTGGCCAATTACTAATAAATGAGCAAATTCAGGTAACTTTACTTTAGAAAATAGAAGATAGAACATGACCAGCACACCAGAAAGACCCCTTTAAGACTCTTCCCAGTCACTACCTCCTCCCTCCTGCTTACAGGTAACCCTATCCTGACTAGGAACACAATAGAAGTTTCCTCTATTTTTAAATTTTATCTAAACGGAATCATACAGTATATATATTTTCTCTCTCAAGATTATGTGAGATTCATCCATGTTCTGTGTGTAGCAGTGGTTTATTTTCAGTGCTTCATGAAATTATATGAATAGACCACAATTTATGTATTGTTTTTGGATATTTGGATCATTTCCAGTTTGATGTTACTAGAAGTAATGCTGTGATGAGCATTGTTTTACATGTCTTTTGATGTATATGTGTATACATTTTTTGTCAGATATATTATATGGATCTACTGTTTAACCTGGGTTTTCCCCAAATCAGAGTCTGAGACAAAGGCTTGTTATGCAGGCAATTTATTTGTAAAGTGATCCCAAGAAGCAAGCATGAGGGACAGAGCATGAAAGAGAGATGCAGAGAAAGCATATACATATATAAGTTAGAGAATTGGCCACTGTTATGAGTGACTGGTGCTTAATCCCACGGGGCCTTTAGAGGAACCTTATGAAATGTATCTCAGAACTGACTGTCTGAGCAATGGAAGAAGGAAGCAAAGCATGTATCCACTTCCAAACCCACATGGATATTAACTCCAAGTACTTCTAATAGTACATGCACAAATGCCAAGTGTGATATCAGGCATCCAATGTCATAGTGTCTGGGCCAGAAAGAAAGAGACTAATCATTGTTAGGTTGCATCTGTGGGAAGCTGGTTTAAACCAGGATAAATTGGAATAAGGGGTGGTTTGAATGGATTTGAGGTGGTATATAAGACATGTCTAACACACCCACATATGTATGTATTCATCATTTCAACAAAGGTCATCAAATCTGTTCATCTATTTGTCTATCCTTGTGTCACCAGCATACTGTTTTAATTATTGTAACTTTATGATGGCTCTTGACATCTGGTAGAGTAAGTCCTATCATTTTATTTTTACTCAATTGTCTTGACTCCCTACATTTCTACAAAATTTGGAGTCAGCTTCTATAATTCCATGAAAAATAAAACTCTGCTGGAATTGCTTAGATGCATGATCATTTGAGGAGAATTGCCATCTTTACAATATTGAATCATCCAACTTATAGACATAATATAGCCTTCATTATTTTGGTCTTAATTTCTCTCAATGTTATAATTTCCTGTGTAACATTTTTCTGCATATGTTTTGTTAGATTTCATCCTAGAGATTTCATGCTTGTTGATACCAGTGTAAATGATACCAGTTTTAAATTTTCATTTACGGTTTTCTGGTAATATATAGAAATACACTTGATTTTTACATATTGAGCTTATATCCAGCAATTTTGTTAAGCTCACTTCTAGTTTATCTGATTCCTTTGGATTGTCTATGTATGTCATGTCATCTGTGGATCTGACAGTTTTATTATTTTTGAATTCTTATATGCTTTTTCTTGTCTTATTGCACTTGCTGGGACTTTTAGTGCAATGTTAAATAGAAGTGATTAGAGTGGTCATTCTTGCTTGTTCCTGATTATAGGAGAAAACACATTTAATATTTCACCAGTCTATTGAGTGTAGGTTTATGATATTTTAATATATAATTCAGTATATTAGATGGAATTTGCGGCATGCATGTGTGTGTGTGTGTGTGTGTGTGTATGTGTGTGTGTGTAGATAGATAGATAGATAGATAGATAGATATCAGCTTGAAGTTTCCTTCTATTCCAAATTCAGTGACTTGTTTTGTTTTGAATAATAGGTGTTGAATTTTGCCAAATGCTTTTTTTCACATTAACATAATCATTTTTTTCTATTTCTTTTTTTCCACTACTAATATGATAGATAACGTTGATTGATTTTCAAATATCAAACTAACGTTGTACTCCTGGGATAAATTCCACTTGTTCATGTGTATTATACTTTTGAAATACTGCTGAATTCAATTAGATAATATTTTGTTATGGAATTTTTGTTCATAGGGATATTGGCCTATGATTTTCTTTTAATATCATTGTCAGATTTTGGTACCAGTGTTATACTGGCCTCGGAAAACCAGTTAGGATGTGTTTCTTTTTCCTATTTCCTATAAAAGTTTGTGTACAATCATTTCTTCCTTAAATGTGTTATAGAATTAATCAGTGAAACCACCAGGACTTGGAGTTTTCTTTGAGGGGATGTTTTTGATAACATTCATTTTTGTGATAGATGTGACTATTAAAATTTTTCATTTGATTTTGTAACAATTTCAACATTATATTTTTCAAGGAATTTGACATTTTATCCAAATTGTCAAATTTATTGGTATAATATTCTTGTAATATTTTTTCTGATTATATAGGATCTGTAGTGATAGTCCCTTTTATTACTGATATTGCTAATTTGTGCTAGTTCTTTTTTTTTTTCTTAGTCTTTTTTAGGGACTTAACAATTTTACTCATATTAAAAAAAAACAAATTTTGGTTTTATTAATTTTCTCTATTTGTCTTTTTCATTTCATTGATTCTAATTTTATCTTTATTATTTCCTTCCTTCCACCCACTTTGGATTATTTTCTCCATCTTTTACTAGCTTCCTAAAGAAGCAGCTTAAATCATTTTGAACCTTTCTTCCTCTCAAAGACAGGTATTCAAGGCTATAAATTTCCATCTAAGTACTGCCTTAGCTGTGTAGTACAGACTTTGGTATGTTAGAAATTCATTACCAATATCAGTTCAATATTATTTTCTCACTTGCTTTATGATTTCTATTTAGAAGTATATTGTTTAACTTCCAAATATTTAAGGTTTTTCTAAATCTTATTATTGAATCTAATTTAATTCCATTAGTCAGAAATATACTTTGTAAGATTGCAATTTTTTGAGATTACTTACTGAGACCTATTTTATGGTCCTCAGTATGATCTATCTTGGTGTTAATTCCATGTGCACTTGAAAAGAACATGTCTTCTGCAATTTGGGGCTATAATCTTCTCTAAATGTCATTTATGTCAATCTGGTTGATACAATCACTCAGGTCTTCTATATCCTGATTTTTTTTCTTGGTCTAGTTGTTATATCAATTACTTAAGAAAGAAGTGCTAAATTTTTCAATTATGTTTTTTCAATTATGAATTCTCTCTTTAGTTCTCTCACTTTCTGATTCACAAACTTCTATGTTCTTTTTTTTTAGGTGTGAAGATTTCTAATTGTTTTCTTCCTGATATATTGGTCTTTTCATAGTCGTTAAATGTCCCTCTTTATCTCTGGGAATTTTGTCTCGAAGACTACTTTATCTGATATTAATATAGGTAGTCCAGCTGACAGTTTACATGGCATATAATTTGGTTTTCAATTCACCTTTATATTTAAAGTGTGTATCTCTAGACTACATATAGTTGGATCTTGCTCTTCTATCCCATTTGACAATCTCTGCCATTTAATTGGAATGTTCAGTCTATTTCTATTTAGCTATTGACACAGTTGATTTTCCTTTTTTTTTTTTTGAGATTGGTCCCATCTGGTCTAGTGTTATTTAAGACTGCCGTTTCCTTATTGATTTTGTCTGGAAGATCTGTCCATTGGTGTCAATGGGGTGTTAAAGTCTCCTACTATGAGTGCATTACTGTCAACATCTCCCTTTATGTTGGTCAATAATTGCTTCATATATGTAGGTGTTCCTATGTTGATGCATATGTTTGCTAGGGTTATGTCCTCTTCTTATATCGACCCTTTTATCTGTAGTTTCTTTAGTACTGTTTTTAACAGATTTTATGTCAGTTATAATCACCTAAAAAACTCGTGTATTTCTTTTTCTAACACACTGGTTTTATGAGGCAACTGTAACATTAATAATCAAAGCCAATAGAGGCACTAAAAAAGATTATATTGTCTTTTTGGGCCTGATACTCTTATTGCACAATAGTTTGTAACTTCTTCAATCTTTAATACAGAAATTGGTTTTAGTTTTCCTTCTCTACTGGAATCAAGTTTGTTCAACATTTTTCCTAGGGAATTATTCATTTCATCTGTATTTTCAAAATCACTTGTGCCAAATAGTATAAAGTAGGCTCTTATGATTTTTAAATGTTCTGCTTTTTTGTCTTCATTACATCCTATTTTCTCTCTTTCTATCCCCACCCAACCACCCGCCACCTTTGATTAAGTTAAGCTTTTCAGCCTCTCAGATGCCTCTTCCAGAATTCAGATTCCATTAGGGGCTCACTTTTATAGATTTCCTTCTTCTGAATCTCGCCCTCTTGACTCTCCACTTTCTTGGTAATTCCTCAGTGCCATAGCACAGATCTTTTATATTTCGTCCAGCTTTCTAGAAAAAAAGTTTGAATTATATATCTACCATTTTATTGGCAACGTAATTCCTATATCTTTTTACAGTAAAAAAATAAAAGCCTTCACAGAAATTTTGTTAAAAATGTATTCACTCTCCTCAGTGGACAACTCAAACATGGAAATCAATATTACTGGGTCTAGGTCTGACCTCTAGGAAACTTCTTTTAGAAAAATGTATATTTGTAATTTGGGATTGTCTAGAATTATTTTGGGGTTAATTTCTATTGATCCTTTCCATCACCTCTATGAAAGTGAAGTTAAGCATGGTAGATACGAAAAGAATGCTGATTGGGGTCACTGGCAATTCAGACCTTTAACATAGGAGGGAGATCTGAACCAGAGACATGTATCTGTTAACCATCATTACAGAGCTGTCAGCAGATGAGCTCACTAGATTCAGTTTATTGACAGTTGAAATCAGATTTGAGAAGTCAAGGAGGTATACGATACGTGAAAAGATAGATGGTCTGCACATCAGTTTGGCTTGCCCTTTGGGTAAGACCACCTTTGCCAGATTACTTTGGCCATGAGACATGAGTCACAGAACCTAGCAGTTTCGACATTAACCACCTATACACATACACATTAGGAAATGTGTGTGTGTTACATGACTCCAGGACCCAACATGATCATTTGGATTCTCACATGTTCTCTGAAGCAATTTGTGCATGTGTGGGAATATAATGACTAACCACCTATACACATACACATTAGGAAACGTGTGTGTATATATATATGATCAGTGTGTGTGTTACAGGACTCCAGGACCCAACATGCTCATTTGGATTCTCACATGTTATCTGAAGCAATTTGTGCATGTGTGGGAATATAATGATATCTAAGCACAGGCACCAAGAAGGCCAGATGGTAGGTAAAAGAGGTGAATCTGGCATCCAAACTTGAAGCACAGGGCCTGGAAAATGGTTCTGGAGTTAAAGATCTATGCAGCAAGAGCTTAACCATGAGTAGACACATAAGTAATTTGTTGGTATAAAGTTTTGTCACTTTTGAAATGCTACTGAACTCTCTTCCAGAGTAAAGGAAGTGCCTTTTATTCTTTCGTTTTCTCAGTTCCTAGCAGGGTTCACTGAATATGAAAGTAGGAAATGAATTAATCACTGCTCTACTAGAGGAAACTTTGTTGAATTTACACTCAGACATTAAACAGTTACGGCAAAGTGCAAAACAGAGTTTAAATACTATAATCCTCCCTTACCCTTAGTGTTTTCTAATCAGCTTTTACAAATTTCTTCCTTTCTGCTGTAATCCAATAAATTATAGTTCTGGAAGCACCACAAAATTTATACTGGCTTTCCAATGATGTCATCATCATGCTGGACTGTATATTTATACACTGTTTAAAAAATTCAGTTAGATGTTATAAATAATCCTGGTTTAAAAAAAAATCTATATGAATGCTTATGCTTATTGCAGTATTACTAAGTCATGTTGAAATCTGTCACAGTATGTATATTGTGCAAGAAAGTGAAAAATTAAAAAAATATTCAATAATGTTGCATTCTATATTTAACAATACAGTAAAAATGTTTTGGTAGATTTTATTCATATAAGTTTTTTAATCATAAACAAAGTCATGAATTCAAACAATACAATCAAAATATATTTTATTTTAACTTAAGGCACAAATTTTTTTAAAGCACGCGCATATCAATTTTATTTACACACTATATTAAGAATTGACAATAAATACATACTTTCTATTTCATCTTTGTCCTTCATTTGTAGCTTTATGTATTCACAATAAAGTAAAACTCTCCAAATAAGAGGAATTAAATGCAATCATCCTTAAAGCTTACCAGATATGGGCAAGAGAGGGAGACACCCAAGAACAATGCAAAGGCATTTTTAGTCCTTTAATGTTCCAATAACTTATCTTTAAATTCTTATATCAAGCTTAATGGAACAATAACACAAAGCCTATAATACCCAGCAACTGAAATAATCTTTATTCTATTGCCGTTTACAAGAACTTGCACATTAATGACAGCAGCAGAACTATCCCTATGTAATAAGTAAATGTAGTTATTCTGAATTCACTCACTGAATTAATAAAAAATGCTTAATAAAAAGTTTTCCAATTACCTTTGAGTGCTATTGTCAGAAATGATTAAATGTTTCCTGGAGCCAAAAACACAGCAGCATATTAGTTAATTATGTAACAAAGTACACTAAAACTTTAATGTAAAAGGATAGCTTAACTAAAAGATTTTCTCAGTGTACTAGAGGAGTCATTGGCTTTAAGAGTGATAATCTTTTAAAGATACAAATGAATTACACAAAGTTCAGTATAATAATATATAAATGTCTCGACTAAATACTGTTCTTGTCCCATGAATATATACATAAAATTTACAATTTTAATTAAAGTTAACATTTTGAGAATGAAAGACAAGACAAATAGGTAAATGTCTCTTTTCCAAAGGTTAAGACACTGACAGGGCATCCTTCCTAAACCACCTTATATAAAATCCACTTGCAGGTGGATGCCATGTACAGACTTCTGAAACTTATTACCACCAAACTAATGCAGTCACTAAAACTCTAAACTAGTATAAAATATCCTGCTATTTCAAAAATGTTTACTACTTTAAATGTGAATGTTCTTTGTTTTTTAAATGGAAACTGAAGTAGAAAGAAATTTTTCTATTATTTCTATTATTTCATTCTGATCAACTATTAACCTTTAGGATAAGTTTTATGTGAGGAAAAACATCAGAAATAAAATTTGTCAAAAAGCAAAATTAGTCCTATTGGTTTTATTTCATTTATTTACTATGCTGCTCTTATTATTGGTCAACTTAGGACCAATAATAGCATGAACTATTTACGCAGGATGTGGAAAGACTTCTCAAGAACCCCAAATACAACAGGCATTAGATACCAGGATTAGGAAATTAGCAATGCCCAAATAGGGTGAATTAAACACCTAATGAATAGCACTATTGTTCTTAACCATCACAGAAAGTCAACATTTAACTGGCTGTGTATTTACTATAGATTAGTTTTGTATCTGCAAAACAGTTACCTAATTTATTTTATACCATCAAAACTTTAAAGATCACCATGTCAATGATCAACTGCTTGCCTCGTGTCCCAATGAACAGTTTGTGAATCCAATTTTTCCTCTAACAGATACAATCTAGTCTGCCACAACTCAGTTTCTTCATGTTAATTTTGATTATTAGAAGGTATGACCTGGCACTCAGGCTAAAGAATGTTAGGCCATGCTGAGACTTTATCCTACCACGTAACATATAAATAATGGAAAAGATCAAAAGATACTAAATTCTATTTTAAATTTAAGGTATGAGTCCCAAAGGTGAACATAAAAATCTCACTTCCTCATTCTGACCTGATCAAAACCAGATTTGTTATCAGGTCATAAATTTTTCTGCAGCACTCAGATACCTTTGGTTACAATAAACAACATGAGAAAGTTAAAAATGGTACCAAATATTAAAGAATTTTAAAAATTATGATTTCAACTTACGAATTAGAAGATAAAAAATATGAACTCCAAATATAACCTTTCCTGAGACCTGTGTTCTATGGGAATGTGAAAGCCTGCCTACGGTCCAGTCCATCTCTGATCTCCTTCTCTAAGTCATATAAAGTCTGCACATGCATATACATACGCACATTTGTGCCCATACACAACTAAAAGATTTACACAAAGGCATTCAGCACAAATAGAAAAATGTACTTTTCTCTATTTTCTTAATTTCTTATTAGCAATAATCTTCAAAAAATAAAAGTTTTGAGACTTTAACAGCTTAAGAGTCTTAATAAAGACAATGGAGAAGATAGAGGCTTTGTACCCACATTCTTTGTTAGTTTGTCTTTTATAACAGTGTCTCTTAAAATAGTATCTTTATATACTAGATCTTTTAACTGATCTTATTTAACTGATTTTATTAACCATCACAGAAAATTTCCTAACTCAAAGGCCTACTTGGGATATAACCTCTATTAAAGGTAAATATAAAAATATAGGAAACTTTTCCTCCCTGATACACAAAATCCACTAACTGCATAAAGATTCCATTGTTTCATTTATAAATATAAAAACTGATTAGAAAATCATGCCTACTTAAGTTTGGTATATTTTCATCTAAAGATGTGTTAACTCTTCATTGCAAAAGGAAAAAAAGACAGAGGCACTATTTTTGTTAAACAAATGTTTCTAGTTAGAGAATAGTTGGTATTAACTAATGATTTACTAGCAATTGTTACCATGGTCAGGGTTTGTTTTTGTTATTTATTTATTTATTTTTTGTATTAGCTAAAGCACCAAAACAAAACACAAGGGAAAAAAAACAATAATTTTAGCATGCTTGATGTAAAGTCTTTGTCTTTCAAAGTATTTTTTTTCATACTTACAACACCTTGGGTATTTCCTTGGGTTTGTGACTAAGCAAAGACACTTTGTATAAACCCCAGCACATGTTATTCAATTAAAGGATCATCGTCATCTTCTTGCAGCTGAAGTCGGGAAAATGGCTGGGGTACAGATAGTTTATTCTGCATGATTATCATGAGTAACGTTAGAGCGGTTAAGACCAAGAGCACACCAATAACAATTCCAATGGCTTCTGGGAGTTTAATGCACCACTGGTCAACTAATAAACACTTAGTATGACCAAAGGTTCCATTATTGGGATGTGGTTTTAATCCCAGGATGTGGCACATCATTGGATAAATATCGACATTGTTAATTGTGCTGTGTTTGTAGCCTTTGTGAAATGCCGGACCGTGGGCAGCAAGAAATGGATGCATACTAGGCAAAGAATTATCATAACCATGGTCACCTACTGAAAAAGAACAAAATAATATTAGTAAATAAGATCAGTCTATTACAAAATAACTTGCTTCACGTGTAAATATACTAGAGTCTTAACAGTGTAATTCCTACTCATTAGAATTCTGAGAAGTTGAACTAGACGGGGGTCAGAAATCAATTTTTCTATTTTCTTCAACTCATGTCTTCATTCCCTATTTCATATACATACACCCTTTCCTAATCAGTCATGACCTCAGGTTTTAAAGCTATTTCTCAATCTGATATACTTATCATTCAGTCCTAGTCTCACCTACTTCATCTGTTTTTCTCCAGCACTGTTTGCAAAAGCCCACTACAAACAGCACCAGTGATAGAAAGAGTGGTCCAGCTGAGAGTCCTGAATAACTAGGGAGAGTGGAAGTGATTAAAACCTGTAAATGGCAAAGAAGTAAATCTGCAGACCTACCTATGTCAATTGCTCCTGTGATAAGAAAGAAGATTATATAATTAGATAACTGGTTTGACAGTTAATGAACACCTCAACATCTGGCCAGGTAACTGAGAAAGTTACAGATGGGATTCTTGTATTGAATGTGAAGTCTAATCAGATGACTCCAATTTGTAATGTGAATAAAAATCTAACTCAAAAATGTGATGGTCCCTGATAGAACTCCAATACTAGATTCTCAAATTTTAGATTCATTTAACGTGGACTGCCTTTTAATGTTCACCACTTGCATTTAATAAACTCCTACTTTCATATGAAGTGCAGGGACTGAGGGATGATTATATCAGTATTTGTTATAGTATTCTGTAATTGTATGTTTAAAACATTTCATAATAAAATTAATGTATATGACCAATGTAATAAAAGGCAGAATATAACTATACATCAATATTATGATTTCAATAACGTAAAAATATGCAAGTATACGTAATAGAAAAAAAAGATTAAAAGAAAAAACTCCCACAATTAACATTTATTTGTACCTCTATATTGAGGCATGATACAATTTTTGTTCTCTTTTCTAAACTTTTCTGTATTTTCCAAGCTTTCAACAATGGGTATATTTAACAAATATAAACGATACATTATTCCATTGATCCTTAGTCTTATTCTTGTTTTATGCTTCTGAATTGCTATATATTAGGGATCTGCAGACTACGGCCCCTAGCTAAAATCAGCCCTTTGCCTGCTTTTATAAACAAAGTTTCATTGGAACACACCTGTAAATTTATTTACACATATTGTTACTGGCTGCTTTTCTACTCTAAAGGCAGAATTGAATGGTTGAGACACAGACCAGCTGGCCCACAAAATCTAAAATATTTACTATCTGGTCTTTCATAGAAAGTTTTCTGACTCCTGCTAAAGGCTGCAAAATCAGATTTAAAAAAAAGTATTCAAACTGAATGTAATATATGGATAAATAAACTTGTATCAGTGAAGACCCAGTAACTCTCCCTTATACATTCCTTCAGTTGTAGGAAAGATTTTTATACATCCATTTCGTTTACTCAGAGTTTTGTTTACTTTCTGATTCTTGCCCAATGTTCTAAATAGCTGTAACACTCAGGTAAAGATTTCATCACTGGGGAAAGGCTTAGAGTTACCTGGCCATTTTTTTTTTTTTAAATATACACACACGAGAAATTTGAACTAGTTAATCTCTCTCCCTTTTTATTTTGTTTATATCTCTCTTTTTTATTTCTTTGTTCCCTTCTCTTTCATTTTCTACAAATCAAAAGAACCGATCCTGAAAGTCACTGAAAGTAACTGCAGTTCTGCTAATAAAACTACACTTCGCCCTTGAGGTCACCCAACCTTCTAATCTAAGGGTAAAATTGTGGGAACTGTAAATTGCTATCAAATGAAAACCTGAGAATCGAATAAAGGCCAATTATCTAGCTGAAAATTGAACTAATTATACTGTGTCAACATCTCTACATCAAAGTACCCTGTTAACAGAACAATGTTACAACGTATGATTTATCCCTAGGACACAACAGAAATATCCTAAATTAATACTTACACTTTAGTGATGATTTATTTAGCACAAATGTCCAGCCTTCATCAGCAACCAAAATAAGAGGCTGAATTCGATCATTATGCTGGTAATGAAATCTGGCAGGAATGTCCTCTTTGAGATAAACATTCATGTGAGAGCTACAGTTTTTTAGTTTGTTATAAACCTCTGTTTTATCTAGAAGCAAAAGGAAATAGTAAAGGGAAAAAGTCACAGTTGACTGATAAGGAAAAAAAAAATCCTGCTAACTAGAATAACCAGAAAAAATACTGAACAATATCATGTATTAAATCACTTTTGTTAAAAAAAGAGCAATAATCATATAAGTGTTGGGACATTTACATGCACGCACACACACCCCACACAGTTTTTCAAAGCATTCACCTCTCTCTTTTTTCATTTTGTTATTAATTCCTGATGGACTTTTTGTACAAAGGGGACGATTTTCACATCTAGCTTCTTAAAATAAATATAAACTATCACATATTAATTCTAAGATCAGTAGACAAAAGGTATATCACAAAAATCCAAGATGTTTTTCAAGCATAAAAATTTCCTTTTTCCATTAGTGTTAATAATTACAAAATGTACCAAAAAGCAAAGAAATAATCACTTTGAAGCTAAACCTTAAACTGCTTAAAAACATGTAATTTAGGGAGGAAAAACAAATAATATCACTCTATGTAAGCATAAGAATGTATGGTCCTGAACTACAAAAGCCAGAACCTCATTCTCTTACAAAACTCTCCCTTCTCAATCGACTGCCCCATTCAAATATCATTTGGCTAAAAGTTTACTTACTTGTTTTGGGAAGAATCGCAGCAACTGGGGTCAAATCTATAAGAGTGTATTCTGAATGGTCAATGCAGAGATCCAAATTTATCAGTCTGTCCTTAGAGCACTGGGTCATCCCATGATCACTTGTAATAATCACATTAAGATTTTCCCACAATCCTAACATCTTGAGTTTGTGGACTAGGTCACCAATAAGGTCATCTATTTCTTTCAACACTCTGAGCATGTTTTCTTTATCTTCGGGTCCATATTTATGTCCACTTGCATCTGGTTCTTCCCAATAGAGTGTTGCAAAGGTGACTGGTGGGTTCGAATTGCTCAGCCACATGGTAATATTATTAAGTCTCTCCTCAAAGGACACTGAGGAGCTATAATTCATAAAATAAGAAGGTGTGGTATTGTGAATGGGTACATCAGTACCAGGCCACATAGCAGCAGCACTTGATCTGTTTTCCTGAAGCTGGTTGGTCACCCAAATAGGGACTGCCTCATTCCACCAAAAAGGATCCTTGTCATTAAAGTCCGAAAAATGTTTCTGTGTGATTACATCATACATAGAATTAGCCACAATGCCATGGCTTTCTTCATACAAGCCTGTCACAATACTGTAGTGGTTTGGAAATGTTTTTGTGATGAAAACATTTTTAACATGTTCTACCAAGACACCTTCCTTGATAAAATTCTGGAGATGAGGAAATTCATAGTTCTGTAGATAGTCAGCTCTGAAGCCATCAAAGGACACCAGTAGTAACTTCGGTGGCAAACTATAGGAAGAGTTACCTCTACAAGCAGTTATAAGTCCAGAAAATAAAAGTATTACTAATGACTTCATAATGAATGTGTTGAAAGAGAGCAATCAGGAATCCTAAAATATAAAAATACAATTCATAAGCAGTAATGCTATATGATTTGGATTAGGTTTCAAAGTACAGCCGTCAGGAGAAGAGAATCAACATTTATAAACTTTTTATAGGCCAGCTTTACTTATAGCAACTTAAAAATTAAATAATGTCATTTACTGAAAGATAACGGAATAAATCTAAGGCTGAAAAACCAAAAACTACCTTTACCTGCCCCATCCTTCATGTTCTGAATGGGATATGGGCCATTCTTAAACATCACATAAATACTAGTGTTTGGCTGCTTGCTCATATGCAGCAGCAAAAATTATTCTAAAAGCTTCATAAGAACAAATAAAAAAACAAAAATTATCCGTCTGTACAAAATAGAAATAATGCCAAGCTTTTAGAGGCTCCAGAGAGGGAGATTATTTTTCTAGTTTAATGACTGCTACCACAGAAATAGATGGTGTGAATTCTAACATATTGGCCCATCACCAGCTCTTGTTGGAAAATACTGACATACGAAGGAGAGTAAGAAATAAATATTATTTGAGATAAAGGTCCCACCTCAATTTGTACTTATCTCAACATTCACATGAGGCTGACAGACAAAACCTACAGAGACTGGGATGCCACAGAAATTTCTGAAGAAATCCAACAACTGTTGAAATGCATTTCATCACCACGTCCTTCTTAAACATCCCTTTTACTGTCAAAGATGTAACTATTCTATCTAATATCCCAGGCTCCGAGGTCTCCCTGATTGTTCATTCTTTTTTTTAACAATCCACAAGTTACAAAAATAGCTTTCCCTCAATAAATCTCCCTGCCTTCAGTTCCTAAGGAAATAGGATATGTGATTTTGGAAGAAAGCTTCACTGTAAATGGGCAGGATACCTCTTCTATCATAACAAGAGAGAAGGAGCAAAGGAATGAGCTAACATTTGAGGGCTGGAAGTGAAGGAAACTGCATTCTCTGAGTTGCAAGAGGTAAGGTCAATTATCGAGAGGGAGTAGGGTAGTAAAAGAGTCAGACAGAGGTTTGAGGAACACAGAGAAATGGCCAATGTGGAGAATGGGAGAAAGTACAAGGAAACAGCAGGATTGGTGGTCAATGTTGACAGTGGGTGCCATGAATTTTTGAAGTGACATTGTTGATTGGTTTTCTCCAGCGATTCAGCAGCCCTAGCACAGACATGTACAAATAGGCAGCTGATCCAACCTGGGTTTGAGATTCTTCCAGAAACTGAAATATGATGAAAGAAACTGAAGACACTATCAGGCTGACATCTGAATTGCAGCATTTAAACTGAATCGAATATAGATGCAAGAAGTAGAGAAGTTTTTAGACTAAAGGTTCTGATAAAGTTAAAGAAATGGTGTTTTAAAAGTAACTTTCAGCAAAAAGTTGCAAGAACACAGGTTTGTGGTCAGAGTGAGGTGAATGAATTCATTACTTCAGAGTAAGAAGACTCAAGGTATAGCCGTGGGAATATGCACCTACAGGTCACAGGCATAAGCAGCTGGGAGTTAAATCATGTGGTGACTAAGTTCACAAGTCATTTATTGGGTTCTTCTCTCTCCAATTAGACTGCAATTACCTGAAGGCAGAGACTTTTCTTTCAAACATTACTACCTAGATGATCTGTATATGTGTAGTCATTCAAATTCTTACTGATCGAAGCTATGACCCTCTGAAAACCAGAGACTGAAGATTTGGAAGACCAAAGGCACAGAATCTTGTTTGTGAGGATCTCTGGGTCTGGAAAATCTCTAGCATTGTAATCTGATATGGGCTGCCTTCTGAGTGTGGTGCATAAATTATCTGTAGCTAGTGCCCTCCAAAAAACCAAAACCAGCATAGAATAACAAAAACCGCCTCTCCGAAGAAGAGTAACAACTCTAATTAGTACGAGACATATTTCCAAAGACAAAGCCCCAGTCACATCTCAGCATTTTCATCTATCAAGAATCTAGACAGCAGTAATCTTTTCATTCAGTGTGGTGCCCCTTGACCTAGGATTTATGCACAACACGTCTCCCACCTTGGACAGTCACAACTGGGTTCAGTCAGACAACAATATCATGCAGGCTGCTCTTCCTAGGTTCCAGCGATCTTAGAACTCGTATAGAGGGCACACAAGTCTCCATGAAAGCCTGGATTGAGAAGATCCCCGGGTTTCTTTCTGAGTATAGCTACTTCCCCGGACCAAAATATTTGTTTCCGGTAACAGAGTAGACTAAAACAGAAAATAAGTGGCACAGTATCTTAAAGATACCCATAAATACACTTTTTAAAAGTTCTTTATTTACTATCCCGGCTCTTGTCCTGAGTAATTATTCTATATTCCCAACCAATCCTACCGCACAAATTATTCTGCTAGTAAGTCAATCTGATACATGTCAAATGGAATGCATCCTCCAAATGTTCCCCCTTTCCCTAGTTCCCTAATCCTTTAAAGCAGCTTCACCGTACTCTCAGTCACACAGAGATATCCTGAGTACACCATCAGTTGCTAGCCTAGTCAATTCTATTTTCTACTACAGCATAGCAGACATAAGAATCACTGAGGGAAGCTTGTTAAAAGTGTAGCTGTCTAGATCTAGGAAACTGTGGTTCAGTCAGTCTAGAGTAGAGGCCAGGAACCCACATTTTTAACGAGTGTTTTTAAGAACTGTAGAGTTATCGATTCTTTTTCATCTCCACTGCTGCCATACTTAAAGTACTCAATGCTTCCTGTCTGCAGTACTTACGTCTGTCCCTTAACTAATCTTCCTACCTTTATCACCTTTCTCTTTAATACTCAACATCTGCTCCCAACTTAATCTTCCTAGACATAGCTCTGTTCATGACACTCCCCTAAAAAAAAACGTTCAGATTCCCCCTACCTATACAAAAAGTCCAAATACCTCAGCATTCAAGCCCCTCTATGTCCAAGCCCAACTCACATGCAAATTACTATGAAAGTTACAGAAATAATTGCCAAATTTAATTTCCATTTACCATAGTTCACTGTCACAATCTGTCTAAAATGTATTACTATAAAGACATGTAAAAGACAATAATCATTTATCCTCAATAACAGTCTGTGTTCCTAAAACACCCTAAAGTTACTTCCTACACATGAAGTCTTGCCTATTCTTTTAGGTCATTAAAAAAAATCATTCCATAAATATCTAAGATAAATAAGTTCATAACATAAAAATTTATGTATGTGCCATTTATCAGAGGATAAGAACTTTATACTTTTCAAATACATAGTACTCAAAATAGGAGCACAAATAATCAAATTAATAAATCAGCCTGTCACCTTGGAAGAGGAAAGACAAACTTGAATAAATGTTGTTTAACAACACCAAAACTTCTTTGTGATGCTGTGCTTGAGATCCATACACCATGAAGTATTGTTTAAGAAATCAAGCCCTTCAAGGAATTACTACAAATGAAATATCTTAGTAGGTCTAAAACTTTTCCAATTGAGTTACCTCTAAGAGCAGAGGGGTACCAAGACAATTCAACAAATGGTGCTGAACAACTAGATAGGCATATACCAAAAAAGAAAAAAGAAAAAAAAAAGAATTTAGACTCCTCATCTCATACCACACACAAAAATTAACTCAAAATAGATCACAGATCATGAAGAATAGGATGAAAAAATAACACGGAGTCACTACAGTCATGCTGCTAAATTACTAAAATCTAGTAGGTTTAGGTATGAGGAAATGATTCTATTCTTGTTTTAACTAGCCTGGAAATGTAAACTTTTGAACTTGCCAGTCCAGCATCAGTATACATCAAACTTCCCATAGCCCTCTGATTACACTCTGAAAGACAAAGAAAAAAAGTTCTTTTTTGGAACACTCTGGGTATTGGCCTAGTTGTATAAATCTTTATCATTTATTTCTAGCCAAAGCCTCTTGATTCATGTACACTTGGTTGACAACCAAAATTAAGAGCTAAAATTATGTATACACACACACATATATATATATATACACACACTCTCTTAGAAGTTATTACAGGAGTAAACCTTTATGACCTTGGGTTAGGTTAAGTCTTCTTAGATACAGCACCAAAAGTACAAGAGATAGATAGATAGATAGATACATATACAGATAAATCTGACTTCATTGAAATTAAAGTTTTGTGTTTCAAAGGATATCATGATGAAAGGGAAAAGACAACGTAATGAATGAGAGAAAATATTTACAAATCATATACTTAAGATTTGCATCCAGAATATATAAAAAAACTGTAACAACTCAATAATGAAGTCATATAATCCAATTTAAAATGTCCAAAGAACCAGAAAAACACACTTCTCCAAAGATATACATAAGTGTGTGTAAATATATGTGTGTGTATGTGTGTGTATATGTGTATATATTTATATATTATATATGGCAAATAAGCCTATGAAAAGATGTTCAATATCATTAGTCATCAGGAAAATGCAAATCAAAACCACAATGAGACATCATTTCACACCCACTAGGATGGATATAGTAATCAAAAAGACAAATAATAACCAGTGTTGGCAAGAATATGGAGAAATTTGAATTTTTATACACTGTTGGTAAGAATGTAAAATGGTGTTACCACTTAGAAAACACTTTACAGTTTGGCAGTTCTTCAAAATAGAGTTACCACATGAATCAGCAATTCTACTATGAAGTATATGGCCAAGTGAAATTAAACATAAGTCCACACTAAAACTTTTACATAAATATTCACAGCAGCATTATTCCTAAGAGCCAAGAAACAGAAACAATTCAAGCGTCCATCAAGGGATAAATAGATAAATAAAATGTTATATATCACACAATGGAATATTATTTGGTAATAAAAAGGAATGAAGTATTAATATATGTTTCAATTGAATAAACCTTGAAACATTATGCTAAGTGAAAGAAGGCAGTCACAAAAGCTCACTTATGGTATCATTCTGTTTAGATAACATCCTAGAATAGGCAAATCTATAAAAATGGAAAGTACATTAATAACTGCCTGGAGCAAAAGGTATGGGGAGAAAAGAGGAGTAAATGCCAATGGTTATCAGGTTTCTTTCTGGGGTGATAAAAATGTTCTCATATTGTTTATGGTGATGTTACACAATTCTGTAATATTTTACACTTTAAATGAGTTAATTAGATAGCATGTGAATTGTATTGCAATAAAAAATATATATATGGTAGAGAGAAATTAAATTGTAACCTTAAAAGCATCTGAAATGCCCTGCCGCAAAACAGGAAACATCTCTGAAGTCTCATTTTATCTCAAAAATTATGTAAAATTTATACTTCATAATACAGACTTGGGTGTTTTAATATGAAAATATTTTACACTGCTTCCTACATGCAAAACAAAAGCCAAAAGGCTGTGTCTATCCCCTCTATCTCCCAAATATATACATATCAGAATCTTTCTTTCCCAAATCTTGAGTGAAAAGGATGATTAAGGTAATGTAGGGAGGAGGCAAGAGAACATTTTAAATGTTAAATCAAGCTATATTCAGAGACTGCAATATGCTGATCAGCTCTACAGCCAGATCATAAGGAAACCTGTAGAACAAAGAAAGATTTCTGCTGGGATTGTTAATGAACCATTTCCTCACACCAAGAAAGGAAAACAGGAAAATACCAGTCTTTAAGTCACGCCCTACACAAAATAAAATCATGCATTCCCTATGGCTAAAATGCTGGATATTGCTAGCAGGCCTTTTCAGGCTACACATGCTTATCCATATTATCAAAGGAAAACGGACAAAGTTTTTAAACTGTAATTCACTGAAACTAAAAATGATATATAAACTGGATTCCTTGACACTTGGGGCTTTTTTTCTTGCCTTGGCTTTTTGTCTTTGCTTTCTCTATGGAGCATTACCCCTTCTCTAATAAACTTTCTTTTTTGACTCTAACTCTGGCATGTGTTTGAATTCTTTCTTGCACTCAGCTATGAAGTCTATCCATGCAGGGCTTCCCCAACTCAGGAGAATATGCCCTGTCCTGCATCAAAGGTACATATGTGTTTACTCTGGGGTCAGTAATCCCTTAACACACTGCTAGGATCAAAGTGCCTCATCCTTGGCCCCAGATTAGAAGCAGACAAAGTGGAAAGATTGTAGGCTCTGAAACCACAAGGATCCTAGAATTTGAGCTCACACTTAGATGGGCGATTTTAGGCAGATCTAACTTCTCCCAGATTCGGTCTCTTTGTGTGTAAGATGGGGATGCATAAAGTGTTATAAAATCCTGCAAATGTAGTTTCCTTTTACCTATTCTAGTTACAAAGTTAATATGCTACAAAAAAAAAAAATCTGTACTATGACAGGCAGAATATTATTGTGGAATTACAAAATAACTAGAAATAATTTAATCTAATCCCTTCTTTTTACATACGATGAAGCTTTAGTTGAGTGCTTGCCCAAGCTCAGAAAGCAATTAGTAGCTTTACTGTGCTCTTATTAATTTTGTCTTCAACAAGTTTATGTCTAGTAACAGCAAGTTAACAAGCCTAGTAATAATCTCCAAACTATTAACAGAACTTTTCCTGCCAGAACATCTTTCATTAGCAGTGCTTGCGTCTCTGTGTCTACCTCATTCTGTTCCATTCTGACAGAGTGTTAAACTATAAACAGAACACCAGAGAGAAGGTCTCAAGTAGTTTTCAAGGAATGACAATCACTAATTGTTATATTAGAAAACAATTTGGAAACATTCTGTAATTTTTCAAACCAAATAAATTTTGAATGGGGAGCGGGGGAAGCAGACTCATCTAGCTTCCATCCAAGTATCCTAACAGCAACCGGAAGTAGTAGGTAGTCTTCTTCAATTCAGCAGACAAAACGCACTCTACCTGGCCTGGGATGACTTTCTTACCTAGATGGAATGCATGTCAGGTAATTCTTACTGGCATTCCCGTGTGAAGTTGGGAAAATCTAACAGGTTTAGGAATATGGTGAAAGATATCTGTCACCATTAGAATGCCATCTGCTCCATAATACAAAACCTTTATTCTAAGCGCTTCACAAATACTATTTATAATAAAAACTCTTAATACAGCTTTAAAACATTATTGTCCATGCACATAGATAACTTAGGTGGTTTCCTTTAGACTATTAGTTATTTTCTTAATGTTCTAAGAAAAAATATAACTACTCTTTGACTTTCATAGTCTAAGATTCTGAATTATCCTCCAATTTTCCAAAGCACATAAAATTGTCTAGCAAGCATCTTCAAAACAGCTAACCATGTTACTCTCACAGTAAAATAACATCCCCACAGACTCCTTGTGTTTTCATCAAAATTTCTCCCAAATATTTTGTAGCTAACTTAAAAGCAAGGAGAAGATACTTTATTTATATTAAGTAAATTTCCTTAAATTGCCTGGAACAATCTTTGGGAAAAAGACAGAAAGAAAAGAAAATCATAATATTAAAACAAGCAGGTAGGTGACTTCCTATAGCACTTGGCAAGTTTTTGGGCTTAATTAAGTCCCCCAAATATTCTGGTGGTTAAGCAAAATCCTTCTGGAGTCAAACCTGACATAAACCTGAATCTGCCTGTAACTAGCTGTCCAATCCTGGATACATCATTTCTCTGAGCCTGACTTTCTTCATCTGTATAATGGAATGCTATTATCTCATAGGGTTGTTATACTCAGAAAAAAAAAAAAAAAGTGTTTTTAAAGTGCTTAACACAGTGTCCAGCCTATAAAAAGTACTTATATGTGATCTTTACCCTTTGGTTACTCAGGAAATTCCTTTTTTTTAATTGGATTATATAATTACCATAAACTCTAATCTAATATTCAGACAGATGCATGTCAGATGCCTTCGACAGCGTTTCTTTAAAATCAAACGCCAGCTTTTCCGGCCTGTCTCCCTTCATTTCACTCTCGCCCATCTTCTCCGCTCCACTGCTGTTCAGCCAACTTCCCTCTTCATCCTTCACACCACGGCCTTCCCCAACCCAAACCCACCTGCTAAACTGTCTTTCCGTTTCCCACGCCGCCCTCCTCCTTCCCCTCCGCCAGCTGTCTACCGGCCGCTCTGGCTCCCTTCGCAGACGTCCCTGCCAGTGCCCCAGGATGTGTTGGGGGTGGAGGAGAAGGGTGTTTCTCACCACCTCTACTTTCAAAGCCCCTGATGGACTCAGATGGGGGTGGCATTTAAAAAAATTCCCTACAGAACGCTGTGCGCGCGAGGCTCACACTCACCCACTGCCGACGCCGACGGCGCTTCTATCCAGCGAGCGGAAAGCGGCGCTCGCGGAACCCGGCGCTGGTGGATACTAGGGACCAGGGAGACATGAAGGGACAGGGGCGAGGCGCAGATCCTCCTGAGGCGCCTGCGCAGTAGCCAGCGTCCCGGCCGCGGTTAACAGCCCCAGCCTCCTAGAGATGTGCTCTGCTGGGGGTGGTCCGGAGTGTGCGGAGCTGCGCGGCGCTGCGCGGCGAGCGACTGCGGAACTGGCTTCAAGCCGGCGGCGACCCGGAGGGCGGTGGAATCTGAGACATGTCCTAGGATTGGATGCCAGAGCCGCGTTAAATGTAACTCCCTTTCCGATTGGTTAGATTCAGGGACCACCTGGAGACAGCTGCTTTGGGGGCCTAGAACTGGAAGTAGGAAAAGTTCGTTCCGCTCTCTAAGCATGGCCCTTTCACATCATCAGAGGACTGAGTGCCCTTCTGGGGACCTGAAACGAAGTGAGTCCCAGAAAGGCCCTGGCTACTGCCCAGTCCACGCCTATTGCCACTCCCATTTTGCCCCTAGTTAATATGCATGCACTCTGCGGCTTGTGTCCTCAGGAAAGACGACTTTGGCTGCTCCAGGGCCAAGCACAAATCTAAAGCAGCTTCAGCCAGTTCCAGTGAGCTGGAATAAATACGATGTGGTTCTACCACAGCAGTATCTAACCGTCTTACCGTAGAAGTGAGCACCTTCAAGCGCAAAGTTGACTAGGAGGCAGTTTACCAGTAAGGTTACAAGAAACACACAGACCTTGCAGTTGGGAAACTAGTAATGGGTAAAAGCAGAGAAATGGGCACTTCTTTTGGCAGATGCATGTGGGATTGTGCGCCTCTCTTTAATTGGAAGCTTACTAGGTCGAATGTAACTTTAAGCTTACTGGTAGCAAGAGAAATTACCAAACAGAAGTAGATTTATTTGTTAACACTTGGGTTACCCAGGTACACTTGGCAAAGAGCAGATGGTATCTTTTTTTCTCTTTGTGCAGTGCCAAGCACAGAGCCTGTAGAAAAATTACTTTCTAAATGCTTATTGAATTTAATGGAAGGTTTTAAGGTGCTCTGGATTCATTATCCCCACTGTTAAAATGCATACTCCAAGAGGATTTTTTCTTCCCTGTTCACTACTATAGCTCCAGCAGGTGCTTAAAAATGTACAATTAAATGAATTAAAAATATTAGCCATATGTAATATTCTCAGGTGTTAAAGATTTAGTAATGTAAGACCACTATCTGAATTATTAACCTGCAATAGTGGACCTTAGAAATCAAGGTCTGAAATTTACTCCATGAGTCTGAGCTTTAGAGTATAGCCATCACCAAGATCAAGAGTCTACAAGCAGCTGCAGGGACACTTAGGGGTTGGCTACAATCAGTTGATTATTAGTTTGTACCTTCATAAGTTAATTCCAGTGTCAAACCTCAAGGCTGGCCTGTGCATTGCTGAGTTGGGGCATCTTTGATCCCCAGGCTGTCAGAGCTAGAAGGCATGGCCAAGGCCATTGTCCTCCAATCCCTTGCATCTGCCAGACCTGAGTTTGAATACTCACTCTGCCACTCAGTGGCTGAGCAATCAAGCGCCAGTGTCTCAACCTTCTTGAGCCTCCATTTCCTCATCTGAAAAATGGGCCCTCTTATGGAACCAGCCTCTTAAGGTTATTGTCAAATAAATGAGATAAAGCAAGTAAAGTACTCAGTACAGGGTCTGGCACACGGTAAGTGCTGGTGATTATTATCAGTCTGAAATATTCCCCAACTTGGACAGTGACCAGAGAAGGCTGAGTTCTGGGGAATTTATGTAATATCCAATTTAGTAAAAGAAATATTCTGGCATTTGGGGCATATAGTTATGCATATCCTGTTTGTTCATTCGCTAGCTGCATGATGGTTTAAAGAGTAGACTAAGTTGACTGCTATGTAGATGAGATGTGTAACAGAGACAGTACAGCTGCATCGGCACTAGTTAAAAGGGCTCCCTTTATCTACTGCCACTGCCACTGCCCATGTGGCTGGGTCAGATCAGGGATCAGGGCTCAGCTCTGACATTCCCAAGGAACCTTAGGTGAGCACCTTAAGTTCTGTGATTTAATAATAACACAGACATAAAGGGCACACTTATTTACAGGCCATTTGTGAAGGCCAAATAAGACCCTAATGTAAAAACACTCTGTAGGTTTAAAGCACCAAACAAATTTAAAGCTCAGTTATTATCCTAGACCCTCTAACCTGCCTTAAGCATTTAGTGACCTCATATTGCCCATTGCCAGTCTGAGCTTCCATTCTATTTATTGCAGAAGGCTCCCATGTTTCATGCAATAACTTCTTTCTATAACCAAGTGTCCCCATGGTGTCATGTTCTCAGATATCACGCAAGATTTATTAGATCCAAATCTTTGGAGGAGGAACTTGGAACATTTTTAACAAAAGCCATTAAGTGATTCTGAGGTTTTGCAATTTTGAGAAGGAACTAATGTATGCAAATGTGTTAGTTAACTGATAAATTACTCTATCCAATTAAAATGTTTGCCTTCTTAAATATCCTAAAGGGATTATACTAATTCTGGGGATTTCAAGTAGAACCCTAGGAAGATTTATGGGTAAAGAGAATTCCTTAAAGTCACACTGGTAGGAAGAACGTTTATTAAATTCTACATATATTTTTTCGTAGTTCCATAGTTTAAGAGAGAGATGAATATCCTTGGAAGAAAAACTGTAGAATGAGTAGATGATTTAAAATGCCAAATAATAAAAAAATAAATGTAAAGCAATTAAACTCATTTAAGTGCAGAGATGAGCCACTTTAGCAAGAGTCTTTACAATTAAGAAGAGATTTTATCTTACTTCGCTGGTTTTAAAATATACACTTTTTTTTCACATTTATCATCTCTGAAATCAGAATGTATATTACAGATGATTGGTTGTAATTTTTCTTAGCGGTACGTAATAGAGCTTCTTAACCTAGTTAGTGTCTTGGAGTCAATAAAACACTGAAATGAAACACAATGACATTTTTTCTCATCTTTACTGATACCTAACAAGTGATGTAGGTGTACTCCCTTGTCTCTTCCTCTCCACAAGCCTGACCACACTTGAAGTTCTAGCAGTCAACAGGTCCATCCCACTTGGGACAGCCTGCCCTGCTCAGCCAGACTGCAAAGATCTCTGTTTACTTCTTATAGCCCTTAGTATCTGAAGAACTTATTTTCCGTTTCTCTTGCTTAGCATTTCTGCTACTGTCTTGTTAACCAATTAATTTTTGTACTATCTTATCACTTTATAAATATCTTTGGACCTTAAAACTAGATATTAAACACCTTGAACACAGAAAATTTGTCTCTGCCTCTTGCTTTTCTCCAGGGCCTAACGCAGAGCTCCTGCCTTGTAATATTCAATAAATAAATATTGAGGATGATGGCTCTTAAGTGGGGTGACCATATCTTTGTCATCCAAATCAGGATATTTTTTAGAATGCAAGGGGTGGGGCACTATGCATATTTATGTGGGACAATAGGCAAAAACTAGGGCTATCCTGGAAAAATGTGGTCACTCTACATACAAAGGTCTTTTTCTCCTACTAGATCGTAAACTCTTTAACAAAAAGGACAATATTATACTCATTTCTATTTCCACAATGCAAATAGCACAGTGCATGGTATCTCATTACCTACTAAATTAAGTTTACTTCCCTGTCTACAAAATAATATAGTTTTAATTAACCTATCCAGCCTCAACCATGATGACTCCCCAAATACATATCATTATTTTCCAAGAAAATAGGATTATTTTTAAGGACTAACACACTTTTCTTATCCTGGTGCCTATGCTGATGTTAGTGCCTCAGCCAAACATTAACAGCCTCCCAAAGATGTCTTTATCCTGATCTCCAGAATATATGACTATGTTACCATGCATAGTAAAAGGAACTGTGCAGGTGTGATGATGGTGAGAATCTTGACATAGGGAGATATTACCCTGGATTATTTGGGTGGGGCCGATGTAATCACAGGTTCCTTATAAGGAAAAAAGAGGGCGGAGTCAGAGAGAGAGAATAGAAGGTTCTACACTGCTGGCTTAGAAGATAGAGAATGCGGCCACTAGTCAAGAAATGTACATGGCCTCTAGAAGGTAGAAAAGGAAAGGAAATGTATTCTCTCCAAGACTCTCCGGAAGGATCCTTTCTGCTAGCTCATTCTAGACTTCTGACCTCCAGAACTATAACATAAAAATTTTGTGTTAAGTCACTAAGTTCGTGGTAATTTGTTACAGCAGCCGTAGGAAACTACTATACCATCTAACCTGCAAGAACCAATTAAAAACCAGCTCATCCTAGATCTGTTTCTTGACTCCGGCAGCTGAATTTAACCTTTACGTAATCTAACCTCTCCCTCTTTGGGGTTTCTCTTATAGCATTTACCTTACTTGATAGTATAATGTAAGCAAATATTTGCTTTTCTTATCTCCTTTTTAGATATAAGTGATAGAAATCCAATTCAAACTAGTTTAAACAAAAGGAGAATTTATTGAGTCATGTGAATGGAAAAGTCCAGGAATGAAGCTTCAGGTAAACCTGAATCTACGTGCTCAATGTCATCAGGTGTCAGGTTCCATCTCTCAGCTCTGCTTTCTCTGTGTTGGCTTCATTCCTAAGTAGACCTCCCATTTACAGTGACAATGATGATCACCAGCAGCTACAGGTTTGTATTCTACTTATTTAGCTGCTGCTGCTACTCAAAGACTGAATCTTTCTCAATTGTTTCAAGAAAAGTTTCAGGATTGAGTCTTTTTGGTCTGGCCTGGAGCATGTCTCCATCATGGAATCAATTCCTGTGGTCGAGAGAGTGGAATTGGCTCTGATAGGCCAGATTTGGGTCAGAGTAATTATAACTGACTCATCCCAATTTGCCTGAGACTTTTCTGGTTTCAGCACTAAAACTCCCATGTTCCAGGAAACTCCTCAGTTCAGGGCAAGCTAAGTTAGTTGGTTACCTTAGGAGTCCATGCTGTAGCCTGGGGAGTTGAGTTTGGCCCCATAGAGCTTCTAGGCCTAAGAGTAAAGTGTGATGGTTTCCTAGGTGAATCACCAGAAGAAAGGGAAATGAATTCTGTACAGGCAAAAGCAACAGGGTGACACCCTCTCCATTTGCTTTCTAGATTTGCTTTTTGCCCCTTGAGGGCAGGGAATGAATCTTATTTATTTCTGTATCTTTTGAAAAAAATGAACACATTGTCTTCCACATAGGAAAGCTCAAAAGAATTTATGCTTTTTTTTGTACGACTTTATTCATATTTGAAAAACTTCCTTTAGAGTGAAGAATATCTAACATTAAATCGTGATGGATAATACGGAGTCACTTTAAACAGGAGCATTTAAAAATATTTTACACTCTTATTTGATTGAGATC